GCAATAAAATTATTATTATTTTGTAAATACCCAAATTTTGTGAATAACCTAATTTAATGACGACATAGTACATTTTCTGCACTGCAAAACAATGGACAATACGTGGGGGAAAATGTGTACTACATTGCCAGAAATCCGATCTGGTATGTTTCTGTTCAAATACTTCTAAGAACTTTCATAAAAGTCAGAATAGGAATTATTTGTCATAACATAAATATGTTGAGTTTGATGACTTGTCTATGTTACTGGATGCCAAAGTATCCTGGTACACTGGTTCGTCAATGTCATCAATGTATTCAGGATCGTCGTCATCATCATCACCATCATCATTTTTGAACATAAGTACACACTCGTCTTGCAATAATATCTGTAATATATGTAATAATAGGTGAAACGGAGCCTGTAACTTACACCCTTGATTTTCTTTTTAAACACAGTTTCAAGATACTTTCATGTAAGACTCATGTCACAAACCAACCAATGACCGTTCGTAGTAATTTAAATGCCTTGTAACAACCAATGAAATGTTTTTTTCTCAGGTACTTCCTGTTTGAGGGCGTGATCACATGGGTCAAAGGTGAGACTAACATGTGGTCATTTGTTTACTACTTAGCGGCTGTGTACCTGTAGGTTTATTCTGTGTGTATTTAGATGTTCTATGAGGTTATGTGTTCAAGCACACATTTCATGAGATCAGCTCCATTTATATGGCAGGTGTAGTGCAAAGTAACTGGGAATCTTTTTTTATTTTAATGGTATAGGTTATATCCAAGGTTGCCCGTCACAGGTCTCCGGCCTAAATGCAAATTAATTGGAGAATTAATAAGTTGATGAATTGAGACTTTTAATTCAAAAGAATTTGTTGTTGTTTTTTATAATTTTAGTGATAAACTACATTTAATAGTCATAATTCTATGTATTATTTTCATAAATTAATTAAAATTACTAGTCATGTCAAATGTTGGCCTGTACTTGTATGTGGTGCATGAGAACATTATACTTTGCAGTACTTCGTCTAATAATCAGGCTTATATTCATTGCTTAACATCTAATGCTGAGTGTGTATGTTGCCAATTTCTACAACTGATTGTCCGGGTATAGGGCGCCACCAAGTGGTAGGTTTTGCTAAATAACTCCCAGGGTTTAAATTTGGGGGATTTTTTTGCATGGGAAATAAATAACTCGTCTAATGATAGTCCATCATTTACAAGATCAACAAGAAGTTTATTAAACCTTAATTATTCTCTTAAAGTCTCATGCCACTAATCAACCAATAACCAATGACATTGTTTTTTCTCAGGTGCTCCCAGTATGAGGAGGTGTGATCACCTGGGTCAAAGGTGAGACTAAAATGTTTGGTGTTTTTCAGTGATTTCTATAGGTGCAATCCAAATACAGTAGGTGTGTCTTGTTTACCTTAGATTTGCAAGATTTTGAGCTGGCCAACATGTTAGTTTTCTTCATGTGGTTGATTACTGGCATGTTGACTTCCCATTTTTGAGCCATGTTTCCAACTTTGTTTATCATTTTCATATAACAATCTTCTCATATGTTAACATTGTCGTCTATGGAGTTACAATTAGTGGTATGAGCCCTACTGTACTAACCAGGTGGTGTACACGTGGGCTATGGGCGTAACAGACTCTAATTATAGGAGTTATATGCCCAACAGGCATATATATATATATACAATATATACAACATAAAGATATCGCAGCTCATGCTTTTTGCAGACATACTTGAATGATAAAGCAGACAGATCAACATGTCTGTGTCATCAGCAATCATGGTATTACGAATAATAACAATTTCAGCATCACCATTGCAACAACTCCAGTGTCTGTCAGATAGTAGAGAGTAATTAAATAAGCTTTTGCTTGTTGGATTAATTCAAGAGAAGAGCTCATTTTTATTCTGTGGAACAGGTGTCTTAACATTGACTGCAGCATCTGTATCTGATATGTCTTGACGATAAAGTTACTGCTCGAGGTCGTTTGTTGTAATGACTTCATAGCTATTAAATATTTAACCACAATCTAAGATCGTCTGTGAGTTACTGCAGGAACAACAGATTAATATACTGAATCTAGTGTACCATTGGCCAGTGTATTCCCCACACACAACTACCGTATAACAAAATTGGCAATATTTTACAGTCAAATACTTTGCATGCAAGATCAGAC